GCCGCCCTGCGCCAATGGGGCGGGGAGGGACCGGCCGGGGGCGGCCCCATGGCGGCGGGGCAGGGGGGCGCCGGGGCCGACCAGCCCCGGGGAAGCCATCGTTAACCTTCTTCGGGTCCCCCAAGCCCGCAGGCAGCGCCCTCGGGGCCGCGGCGTCGCGCCCTGAGGGGGTTCACCCTGAAGGGGCTCACCCTGAGGCGGCCCCGCACAACATGGGGCCGCGGGGACTCCGCTCCTGAGGGGAAAGTGGAGCGGGAGTGGCAGAAAGGTGTCAAAGATGGCACACAGGACATGTCACCGAGACGATGACAGCCTCCAGGGGGGTTTCCCGGGCACAAGGTGCCTCCCCCGGTGGGCGGCCCCATGGCGGCGGGGCAGGGGGGCGCCGGGGCCGACCAGCCCCGGGGAAGCCATCGTTAACCTTCTTCGGGTCCCCCAAGCCCGCAGGCAGCGCCCTCGGGGCCGCGGCGTCGCGCCCTGAGGGGGTTCACCCTGAAGGGGCTCACCCTGAGGCGGCCCCGCACAACATGGGGCCGCGGGGACTCCGCTCCTGAGGGGAAAGTGGAGCGGGAGTGGCAGAAAGGTGTCAAAGATGGCACACACGACATGTCACAGAGACGGTGACAGCCTCCAGGGGGGTTACCCGGGCACAAGGTGCCTCCCCCGGTACAGGCCACCTTACCCGGCACCTCACCCCTGCGGGGAGGGGCAGCCCCAGAGGGACCCGGGGACCCACAGCCCCTGAGGGACATGAACATAGAAACGTCATGTGTCAGGCTCTCACGGCATCCAGGTGGGAGGTTGAGGCTCCTTCTAGATTTCACTACCTGGAGCTTTAAAAAAACGAAAATAAGTTAACCATCCTGTAGTGACAGTGTGCTGAATCCCCCTCAGAGCGGTGGGATTTACCCCCACTTCATTCCCATTCCCCCACAGAAGATCTGGCAGCCTGGTTTCGGACAGGGGTGGGTGCCTTTCTCCTGCTGACAGCCCCCCCTCAGAGCTGAGGAGATGCCACAGGGTGAGGTGAGTACCCCTAACCCTGAGCTGCCGCCTCGCAGCCCGGGCAGCAGTCATCAGCCCCACACAGCAGATAACTCTTTCCAAACTGGCTGCAATTACAGGACGGTGGAAGCCTGCCAGGATGGAGAACTATCAGGGGCATTTTTTAATTTGCGCTCAATTAAACCGCGCAGACCATAGATTCTGTACACTTGCTGGGGAGCGAGATGGGAATTCCCAAAATAGAAGAAAGATCCTTGTGTTGGTTTGGGTTTTTTTGGTAATGTTGTTATTCTTGCTTCCCCATTCCTTATCTACACAAAACACTTATTTTACCAGATCACATACTGCGTATTTACTCCAGAATTTCACAATGTAAACGTACAGGAGCATCATCCTAGGAATCACAGAATCATCAGGGTTGGAAGGAACCTTCAGAGATACCAAAGCAGGGTCGCCCAGAGCAGGTTGGACTGCTCAAAACCCACTCTGGGTTTTGAGTATCTCCAGAGAAGGAGATATTCTACCATTAAAACACACAATCCCTTCATATCCAAAGCCACACACCAGCTCACATTATAGCACTGTCACTTTCCTCATTAAAACACACAATCCCTTCATATCCAAAGCTCACATTATAGCACAGTCAATTTCCTCGCAGAGCTTTATATATAGAAAACTGTAACCCCCAAATTATAAATTATCTAGTTTGCAGAGAAATCCCAATTCATGCTAAATAAACACTAACACTCAGTACGCTGAAATCTACATAGGAAAACAAAGTTTGTTTTCCAAATTCTAAATAATAACAAAAACAATAGACTAAGGAAGTTATTGCAGTAGGTTCTTTCAATTTAAATACACACACAACTTCCTTCATTTCACCCACTCACCCCAAATTCTTTTCATCACAATATAGATTAAAACTTAGGACAGTTTCAATGAAATTTAAATACCTGAAATTGAGAGTGTTTAATGTTAACACTAATATTAAAATAAAATTAAAGAGGGCAGATTAAACAGCAGTTGCAAAGTTTCACAGCTTTTGTTTTTAACACGCCTGTGTTTTCTCCATCTGCATTTGTTATGAAAACCTGTGTTTTAGTTTATTCCTCTGGTTTGATAAGTTGATGGAGATGCTCCCACCACAGGCAATAAACCCCTTCAATACGGGGCATGACAATGCCAACAATTTTGGTCTTATTCGATATATGTGCAGGCAATTCCAATTGCCAGTTGATATTTGGATTTCAGTTCTGTGGAAATCTAACATAAGTTATTCCCCAAAAAGAGAGAGATTCTGGGAGTCTTTTTTTCAGTTGAACAGAATATACGCCTTTCACTAGTGCCTGGAAGCAGATCTTTTGAAGAAAAGAGTATCAAATTAGTATTTTCCGCAATTTCTTTGTAGTGAAAAACCATAATGAGAATAATAGGCCTTAGAAAATAAAAAGGCTTAGCATAATTGAACATAAATACAAATTTCTGCACAAGCAATTAGGTCTGGAAACCCGCTTCAGATAAAAAGAATTAAAAGGAAAACAGTCAACATTTTCATCTGAAAAGATATTTATTTTGAGAACTTCAACTTGCACATTGTACAAAAAATTGACAAATTCAGCAAAAAACCCCTATAAAACGCATTTTTTTTCCCTAACATATTAACATTATAATTTTAAAAAGGGTAAGAGAGTTAAGAAAACCAAAAATAGGCACATTTGTTCCAGTCTGTCTGCAGTAAAGTGTGATTAAAAACATCCCTGTCTTGTTGAGGTATTAAACTGCAAACTTTGGTAATGGTAGGAAAATGAAAAAAAGACAACCCATGGACAAAAGTACACCTCCTTGGTGTCATGGACAATAAACACAATGTTTCATCAAAAAAAAAAAAAATAAAGTCAAGAATCGGTTATTCTCCATTTCCAGGTAGAAATGCAGCAAAACAAAGGGAAAAAAAAAAAAAAAAAAAGGCATGTTATCATAATACACCCAGCATTAGGAGGAAACCTGAAAGTCTGCAAATCTGTGCTAATGGTTTACAGCTACAGTGTTCTATTTTACCCAAAGAATAAAATCCGGTCGGCGAGTTTAAACAATTCAGTGCTTATGAAAAAAAAAAATAATAAAAAAAGATATATATATGTGGTGATTCAGAGCCCAGTCTTTCAGCAAAGGACAAAAGGCACTTAAGAATGGCTTTAGTATATTCCACAATGGCATTTCTGGATAGAAGACAGCACCTGGCTGAACAAATAATTCCCTAATAAGAAAGAAGTCCAGCTGAGGTAGTACTTCATATTGCTCCCACCACTTGGCTATACACAAGCAGCTTTATTTTCTTTTTTTTTTCGATATACAAAATTAGCAGGAAATGGCTTTCGATAGGTTTCTCAAATGTATAAAACCCAGTTCTTAAAAAAAATAAAAAATAATTAGCAAATACCCACTTGTGGTAATAAAAAAGATCGTTAAGCCAGAAACCATCTTGTACAAATTGAGCGTCAAAATGCTGCCAAGGTGATGCACAACTCTACCTTGATGGCCAAATCCCCAAACGGTAAAGATTGTTCTAGCAACCAAGCCATTTATTTTATTTTTTGGAATAGAAAAAAAAAAAATAGAAAAATAAGAGTGGGCAGAGGGGGCACTCTGAGAACTTTCATAATCATTAGCAGCCTTACCGGAAGCACTTTGTAAATCCTTTTTAAAAAAAAATAACAATTCTGTGCTGATGAGTGGCAGTTTTGAGGGGGGGCAGCAAAAAAAAAAAAGCGAAGTTTGACATTTAGAACAAAAACAAAACCCACAAACATACAAAAGGATATTCCTTGAAGTTTATAGTTTTTTTAAAAACGAGGAAGACATTAAACTTTTTTAGGGGTCTGGGAGAACACAGACTACTGTTTTGTTTGTTTTGTTGTTGGTTTTTTTGTTGGGTTTTTTTTTTTTTTAAATTAAGCCCATTGAAAACTCAATTAATAAGTTTGAATAAAAGAAAAAAAAAAAAAAAAAATCGAAGTGCTTTACAGAATCACCGTCCGTTGCCGTAGCCAGGGAAGAGCTGGGTGAGGACACTCTGCAGGGTCTCGTTCACTTGCATGGTGTAATTCCTGCCCAGGTCGTAGCGGCAGGCGGGACAGCTGTACACGTCCGCTCGGAAGGATCTGTCCAAGCAATCCTGGGGAAGAATAAATAAAATAAAAAAAAATAATAATTGGTTAAGAAAATGGAAAAATGAGATGCCTTTAACGTCCTGGTTCAGCCGGGTTGGGACAGGAGCCCAGCGAGGCCAAGAGCAATGAGCACAGCTGGGAAGGGAACCTCCTTCCTTAGATGCAACAGCACTTAGAATTGTCTGGGTGGGAAGGGACCTTTAAGATCATCCAGTCCAACCATCAATCTCACTCTGATAAACCCATCACTAACCCATGGCTCTAAGCACTATGTCAACCCACCTTCTAAATCCCTCCAGGGATGGTGCCTCAACCCCTTCCCTGGGCAGCCCATTCCAAGGCTAAGAACCCTTTCTCTGTCTAAATTGTTCCTAATCTCCAATCTGAACCTCCCCTGGGGCAACTTGAGGCCGTTTCCTCTTGTCCCATCCCCTGTTCCTTGGGAGAAGAGACCAACCCCCCTGGCTACACCCTCCTTTCACCACAGCATCTTAGTCACAGGTATTTAGGTATATGGTAGAGTTATTTCATTCAATTACATTTCTAAAGATCAAGAATTCCCCCAGAGCTGCTAAAGACTGTCAGAGCTTCTGCAAAAACACATTCTTCTTCAAAAAAACAAAACAAACCCCCTACTCTACTCTCTGTAACCCCGTGGAACCCATCGGTGTCACCCAGCAGCACTGAGCCCGCAGAGCGGCTCGTGTCATCTTTTGAAGGAAGGGGGTAGGAATCGGGTCACAGCAATGCAATAGTGGAACTGTCTTTAAAGCACATGCCAAAAAAACTTCTATGCCCAAGAACTGTCATCAAATCAAGGGCTGTGGTTTAGTGGTGGCTCTGGCAGTGTCAGGTTGATGGTTGGACTTGATCATCTCAGAGGTCCTTCCAAATCTAGACAATTCTATGATTCTATTAAATTTTAAAATACAAACCTGCCTCATGCTAAAGGACTAACTCCTGGCCAAAAAAAACCCCAAATCTACACACACCTTCACCAGTTCTCTCCCCACTGAACGAGCTCAAGGCTCGTTGGCTCCCCAGAAGAGCTGTTCCAGTGACTCACCTTGCACACGTTGTGTTGGCACACGGTTGTGACCGGCCGAAACACGACCTCCTGACAGCAGATACACAAAAAGGCCTCTTCAACTTTATTTAGAAATTTCTGTAAAGAACAACACAGGAATCAGCTTGTTGCTCCTACTCTCTGAAAGACACAGCTCACTAAATGCAATAGGTTACTTTAGACATAGAAAATTTTTCTATAAATTTCAACAAGCTAAAAAAAATAGTCCCGTTAACAAGTTCTTCTCCTACTTAATGACCTCAAATATAGTACGTTAAATTTAGGCTGGGAATGTCTACAGTGGAAAAAAAATGCTGTAGGTCTGAGGCTGTTTCTTTACGCAGCCAAGAACTCTGTATCTAGGGATAGTACACTAATTAGTTGTCACTTGATATCTGTAAGGATAAGCGTGACGTACCGGTCCATCCTTGAGAGCTTCTAGTACTTCATTCCACAGTTTTTCATTGGCTTCATCACTTTTTATGAGAGCTTTTTGCTGAGATGTCAGCTTGTATGGCTCAACTTTAGTTTTCTTTGGAGTCCCTGTGGGAGAGGTAATGAGCTTTTCCTCCCCACCTGAAAGAAAACACAATGACTTCTTAAACAAACAAACAAAAAGCAACCAGAAAATAATAACTAGATAAAATGCACAAAAACCTACAAGGCTTTCTATATCCACTTGCCTACGCCACAAACCTGCTGATTTCCTTTTCCTCTTTCCTTTCCCCGGGGTATCAAACTCATCATCTCCATTATTTTCCTTCTCCTTATCTTTGTTTGCAATAACTTCCAAATACCCTTCAGGATACTACAGGAAAACACAAAACAAAGAGCATCCAATGCAAATGCACCTTTCACAGACTTAGAGACTGTTACAGATCAGAAGAACGACGTCTCGAGAACTGCTCCAGTTTAAGCAATCGATCCCTGCTCTGCCAAAGCTCTTATTCAGACTGGAAATTCTGTACAAGAAAGCGAGTTTTGTCCATTTAACCTCCTGATGTAAGAAGAAATCAAACCACCCACAAGACTGAAAGCACTTTTGTCCCCCTCGGTCTCAGGGGACGTCTCGATTCTTACACAAGGATCATCCTCAATAAAATGTATAACAGAAGAATTCCTGATGTCCATCAAGTTCGTCGTCCAGAGGAACCCTGCTGATGTTCCAGAGGAGTACCTGCATTGTTAGGCCCAACTTTTTCATCCTGTCCTTTCCTTCTTTGGTCCAAGGAGCAGGTTCTTCATCATCCCTCCTAAGCAAGTAACGCCACACTAGAAATCCAGACTTCCCCGTCTCGGGCCAGTATTTCACAACCTAAAAGAGTCAGATGCAAGTCCATCATACACTGTAAAAACCCACTGGCCATAACCAAATTCTCCTCATCCAGTAAAGGAACTCAAATCCTCCTTACCTTATATATTCCATCGTATCTGTTCCCTTCTACAGGAGCGTATTTGCTGTGTTTGCCTCCTTTTACGTTCCTCACCACGCGGACGGGTTTCCCAGCTCTCCAGTCCTTGGCTTCAGCTCCGTTTTTGTCGTTGATGGGAGCACTGCAGTTCAGAGCCAGAGCTCTGCAAGAGAAAAATCCAACAAACTTAGTGTATTTACAGAGCAGAACCCTTCAGAATCAGAGGGAGGGCAGAGCAAAGCAGAGTTTTCATAGTAAACCAGCTACTGAGAAATAATAAATTTAAACTATAGTATTTGACTCAGAGCAACACATGGATAGAGTTGAGTACAATACTGAGAGGAGCAGCAGAAGCCACAGGAATGGCTCCTGAAAAACTGGAAGCTGTTGCCTCTTTGCAGATAGAGGAGCCCCTTCGGAATCTTTTTGGAGGAAAAAGGATGTAGCCAGTTGTTTTGTTTGTTTATTGTAACTAGGAACACTTTCAAGTATCTTGTATAACACCGAGAACTCTGGGAGATAGTCATTAAGCCTCCTGAGAAGCCACATTTTAAATACACTGATTCTTCATTACATTACCCTGCTGTAATTGCCCAGAGCACCTCCTCACCTCCTCCACTCCACATTTGTGCCCAGAGCACCTCCTCACCTCCTCCACTCCAATCCACGTTTATTTGTAAGAATAAGAGTCCAGAATTACAAGTGATCTGGTCTCCCAGGGTGACCAGTGGCTGCAAATGTCCTCAGAAGAGAATATAAACACCTCTAGGCTAATTTACTACTCTGTTCCTTAAATTTCAGTCAATATTTACTGTCAGACTAATACCATTTACAGTTGTTTCATTAATTCATTCACTGTAAGAAGCATTTCCATTGTGCAACTGATCTGCAGCCTCCAGCACGGTCAAAACCTGATTTTGACAGTTTTTCCACTTGGCCTGTTTCTTTTGGAAACGGGACAAAATATTTTGGGTTCCCAATTGCCAAGTCCTAAGGTCAGGGATGGAACACGAAGGTTGCTGACCTGTTCATGTTGGTGAGTTTTTGATCACAAGACTGTTCCGCTGTGCGTTTGTTTCCAGACAGATCGCGCCCTCCGCTCCCTGTATATGTGAAGGAATTTCCATGATCCTGAAACGTATATGGATGGGTTCGACACATTCATAAAAAAATAATTCAATAAAAGCAGAAGAGTCTTTCAATCAAGTAGCTCTAATGTTATATTCTGAAGAAAAAAAGGTGCTTCCTCTGTTTAAGCTCCCAGACTCAGTCCATGGCCCTCCCTTACATTGCCAAGAGAGGAGTCAAGGTGATAACTGGTGTCTTGTCACGCACCTCACAGAGACCTCTGCCCACTTCACAGAGACCTCTGCTCACCACAGGCACCAGAGCTGCCCAGAAGCCTGGGGGCACCTTCCAGAGAAGGAAACCTTAACTGGCACCTCAGCACTTCCACTGGTACGTGACCCCACAGCCAGGATTCAGGCTTGACACGGCCACTGAGACTCCTGGCTCCCTCTTTCCATGAGTGGTGACCCACAAGAATGAGCCCTAGAGCCTGGTACGGCCTCAGAGGGGTCAGGTCTGGCCAGGAGAACCCAACGATGCAGTCAGAAGTAGAACTTCTATCCCTAATTTTGCTCTGAACACTCTCCTGACACACGAGGACCTGACAACATGTACCAAGAGACTCTTCAAACCATGGATGCAAAGCACACCCTGTGAAGGCAGCTAAGGACCCTTGGGCTGAAAACTGACACATGGATATTAAACTTAATTCACATTTATCCCATTTCTTGGGTTAACACATATTACTGAACTGTAGTATTCCTTTGCCTAGATTAAACTTAATTCACATTTATCCCATTTCTGGGATTAACACATATTACTGTAGTATTCCTTTGCCTACTTTTCTTCTGAAGAACATAAGTATCATCAAAATGAGCGTCTCGTATGTGTAAGAAGTAATTAAGGTCAAGCCTTTGTTTTACCGATGAGTTTGTTTGGTTCTCAGACATAAATAATCAAGATTCACTTACTATGTCATCTTCGTAGCCTCCTGCCAGCACCAGGGAATAGGCCCCATCGTTACTCCTGCCATGGATCCCTGCTACGTGGGGCCTGTGCACGCCGGACTCGCTCACCTGGGGCAAAACCAGAGTTTGTTGGGCAACTGCTGTTCAACAGGCCACAAACAACATCACTATCTGTCAGTCTTGGAACTAAATTAACTAATAGTTCCATTTCAGATTTGCTTTGCTTATATTACAGTGTGAAACTGTGTTTCGCCACTATCCTCCTAAAAGCTCCAGGCAGAGAAAAGAAAAAATGCTTAAAAAAAACCCCAAAGGCATTGAATATTTCAGCAAATTGAACACATGGGTATTTTTTGTGATGTTCATTTAGAAATTTGGATCTTCGCACTGAGATTGCTTATTAAGTTCCCAGAATTTTAGAATAATGTAGGTATTAAAATTAAATGCCTGTATAAGGAGATTGGTTTTGAAAGACTTGCAGTAGCAACCTCCATCTAATACTGGAAGACAAGAGCTGGATCTCTCAGGGCTTTTTCTTCCCCAACTTTCTAACAGGATGAGAAGACCTGTTTAATGTATCCAGGTACCCGAGAGAGACCTGTTACCAGCAGAACCAGTGGGAGATACCACACATCTGCTGGACAGGACAGGCTACTGGAAACAAATACGTTGGTTTGGGGGTTGAGTCACCAAAAAAGGACTAAAGAAAAAAACCCCTTGAAAGGCCCGGACAATGGGGCATTAGTTATGGAACACTTGGTCTAGACAAAGCCAGAATTCTTTCCTTTCTGCACTCACACGTCCAGTGACACACACTCCAAGATTAACTGTTTCAGGTGCCTGGGAAGAGCTGGCTCATTCCCAGTTTTCCCTACAGGGGCTACAGGGTTCAGCTTCGTACCTGAACTCGGAACTTCCACATGGTGCCAACGGGAATGCCAGGAATTGGTCCATAGTGGTTGGAGGGGACGATGGTACATTCCTTTGTGCGACCAACACAAGCCATACCCTGTTTCAGAGGGCAAGATTGATCAGCCAAGAATTTCAAGGAAGTAACACACACTGTTCTTCAAAGTAAAATAGCTTTTTGAACTGACCTTGCCCCAGTCTCTCCGCGAGGATGAATTAGCAGATGCCATCTTTTGTTTCTTTTTACTTTCTTTTAATTTTTCTCCTGCTAAAACCACCTCACTTGCATCATTTCGACATTCAGGGCAATACCTAGAGTCACCAGTTGATAAAAATTAACTAGTAGCAAAGCCTTAGATTAAAAGAGAATTTCCTGAAAACATACCGAGTTACAATTTCCTGGTGTGAACCTCAAGAGGACATGAAACAACCCTCCCTACTGGTATTAGACCAGTATGAGCTGGTGTCCCTGCACAGCCTTCTAACCCACTGCAGATGTATCAGGAAATCTGCTGTATCATTAGAAACATTGTATAAAATGCTGAAACAGATAGATAGATGTATTTCACTGTCCATATCTATCACCATATACATTTCACATATAGGACAGTATCTATCACCAGCCTAAAATGATGATGGTGCCTGTGGACTATCTATAAGCAACCCATAAGGACCATTACCCAAGTGACACCTCCTGGCATCAGGTTTGAGTTTGGTTTATTGGTGGCTGTGCTCTCTTTGAACAGGGATGGAGATCCCCAAACCAGGAAAAGAAGTTTGAAAGCCACTGGCTTCAAACATGCTCTCACTAAACTGATGCTCAAGAAAAGCTATGAAGTCCTACCAAAAACCAAACACACACACAAACATCTCTTCACCTCACAATGTTGCCACCTAAGGGCAGCATGAAGCCCTAGACCTCACTTTCTGCTCCTAATTAGATGGTAATTGCGATTCAACACACACATACTTAGAACTTACCAGTCCTCATCATCTGGAATACTGCTAAGGGGAGGGTTGAGGCAGTAGATGTGGAAAGCCATGTCACACTCGTCACACATGAGCTGTTTATCTGGATCTTGTTTGCCTCCACAGATATGGCACGCACAGATTCTGCAGGTCTTGTTGGGGTTGTCCTTACAAGCTTTACACACGGGTCCGTTCTGTCCTGTTGGCAAAAACAAACCACAGGCCACTTCAGCCTCCAGAAAGTGCCAAGATACCCTTGAAATAGTCAAGAGGAGCCACAACTACAAGCGTCTCAACTCTTAGACCCTTGATCCTCCCAAAGACAATCAGCAGAACATCACACGGTAGAACCGAAACGTGCAAGAACCGCGCAACAGACTCACGTTTTAATGGACAGGCGTTAATTGGAGAAGCAGTGCCTGGTTCTTCGATTTTATAGATTTCATCCACTAATGTAATTCTGCAGTCATTCAAGGAATCCCCAGCCTCCCTGAAAGGAGAAGGCGATAAAAGTCAAAGAGATCAGACTTTGAAAGTATCATCCGGCATGAATTCAGAGCTGTGAGGGTACATCGGTAACGCAGACTGCTCTGGAATCAGCCCTGCATCACATGAAACCTGTTCCAGCATCACATCATCAGGGACGGTGGCACGACACCACAAATCAACTCATTTTCATGCCATTAAAGTGTACCCCTTCTTGGCTCAGCAAGAATCCAGGCACTTGTAGCCTTCAGTTTATCGTTAGTAACTGTTCTCCCTCTTTCAGACTAATTCCGATTATATTTTACAGTTAAAACATCAGAATCGCTGTGGTGAGAAGAAAGAGGGGGAATATTCTGGCAACAGTGTGAAACTTAAAAAATATATACTTTTTTTTCCCCCTGAAGCCGAGAGTCCCTTAGATGTAGGCTCATTTTCTCCTTCAGGAGAGAACTGGATGTAAAGCGAGGGTTCAGCCTACACCATCATATCTAGCAGCAAGTATTACACCAAATTTTTTGTAAAATCGTTAAGGATAGTTAATGGAGTAAACAGTTCTTCTCCTCTTAGTGAATATCCCAGCATTACGTGAACCCACAGATCAGTGTATCCCGTGATTCCTTAAAGCTTAAAGTTCAATTCCTCCAGTGGAAATTAATCAAAAAGGCAGTACAAAGTCAATCACCCAAGAAGGACACCGGCTTCTCTCCCAGAACTGCCCTCGCACCATTTTTCTTGCGTCAGTTTTATCAGCAGAGTCGCTCGGACCTCACGAAAGCTTAAGCAGAGTTGGAGAATTCAATTTATTCCACGTTAGGAATTTGCTTACCCAAGTAATATCTTTGCATTTATCTCCTTGATCATTTTCGTTTCCCTTTTTTGCAGAATCTCCGCATCGTACCAAAAACCTCTCTCTTTTGGTTCATCGGGATTATAGTTGACCATCACCACCTGTCCTACCTCTAGCTGGTGCCACTTCAAAATAGTCCGTGCACGAGCCCGTACATCGCTCGAACTCAACTCTACAACTCCGTTCTCTGGGTAACTTGAAGTAGAAGGGAGGGCACAGAGGGACAGAGAAGAAAAATCAGATTCAACATCACAAGCTGTTGTAGGTGATGGATTTTATCCAGAGGGCTTGATTAAAGAACCCGATGCCGCGCAAAATAAAAGAATATCAAGAATAAAATCCCCTTCTCCCACCCAGACACAGCCAGAATCGGGCACTTTAACTTTGTTCCTGTTGTATCCCATTTAAAACTTGGTTAATAGCATTTCATAGTTCTAAAACCAGCCCCCTGGAATTCCAACTGTAAGACAAACTTACATTTTTGAGCCCCATTAATTGTAATTACCGAGTGAGCCCAGTTCTGGTTTACCTTGTGGATCTCAACAATAAAACTTCCCGTCAACGCCACAATCCAAATGACTTTATAAGCCAAGAAGGTGACAAAACTCACTCTTCGTATTTCACGTGGTATATTACATCTTCTTCGGGCACGGTCGTCGGCTGATCGGGATCTGTGCAACTCTCAGCTGATTCCTTTGTAGGTTTTTTCCTGGTTACATTTACAACCTGGGCTTCAAACCACGCTCCCATGTTCGTATCTCGAGCGTCGACCAAGTCATTGATCTGCACAAAGCAAAGCCCACAGCTCAGCAAAACACATCCTCAAATTCAGCATTAATTTCCAAGTCTACCTGGAGATTTAACCATCTGAAGAACTTCATCATCATCAAGAAATTTAACAGATCTTAAAAATTAAGATATATTTTTTTTTGCCTTCCTGATCCCATTGTGCGTCCCTACAGTCTTCTCGGGTTCAACCTCTAAAGCTAAAAGCACATTCTACACCAACAAGTATAAAAACATGATTTCATATCTTCTCTAGTACAAACCACTATTAAGGAGTCTACAACAGACTCTCAGGACTGTCTTGCTCAGTCTGGCAAAGACATCACTACATTTGTAATAAAATCCAATGAAATAGAAAAGTAAAATGGTTCTGAGCAGCTGGTTGAGATTTGCTTTTGTTCATTCAAGAAAGTTTCAGCTTTGACAAATGCAGTGACTTGGAGCAAAAACATTGGGAAAGGTTTTTAAAAATCAAAACAGGCACTCTGAATGCTTTTAAAAAATAAATTAATGTATTGTAGTTTTAGTCAAAAGGCTAAAATGAAAAATAGAATACTTTGACCTACAACATGTTACATTTCATTGGTCTGTGGGTTACTGGGTTGGTTTTTTTTTTGCTTGTTTGTTCTTGGAGGGTTTAAGGAAAAAAAGAAAACACCCACACGAGTGGGACACGAGAGGTTTTCAGAAAGTCTCAACCCCAGAGAAACAATTCCCCTCCCGAAGTGGGGCTGTTAGTTGTTTAGTTTTTTTTTCCAGTGACTCACCTTGTAGAGGCCGAAGCCGGGGTCGGGCCAGTCCTGCTGGGCAGCGGTGCTGGGCTGTCCCTCCAGCTCCAGGGCACCCTCCCCATTGTGGGAGCTTTTGTCCGATTCGCTTTGGCCGGAGCCGCAGCCGGAATCGGTGTCGGAGAGTTCGGGATCCTTCTCCTTACTCACAGCGGGGAGCACCGCTGGGCTTTGTCTCACCAGGAGCTGAACGATGTCGTTCAGTCCGACGCTGTAATCGAAAAGGGAGTGACCGTCTTCCATCTACAGGGAAAGCATCAAAACAATCTGCTCATTCCCTTCCACGGAGCTTTGCCAAAGCAAAAACCAACCACCCATCGGGCTCCAACCCGCCAAGAGAGACCACAGCGCTTGAAAACCATTAACAATCAAGCAACTTGGCAGCTCTTCAGCATCACAGTTACTTATAGATTGTTATTCTTACTATTTAAAATGTTCTTTTTTTTTTTTTTTCAACAGCCTCTACGAGCTAGAAAACCAAGACTTCCCGGCTGCGGTGGCCTCGTTACCCAGAATAAGTCACAGCATTCCAGGAGATCTGAGAAGGTTTGCATCACGTTCCCCAACAGCATCAATTCTGGGAAGTACTTAAAGAACTACAGATTCCCTAAACTAAAGATAATTCCACTTTACCTACAAACTCCAAAGTTCCTTCTTCCTTAATTCACACACATCCCATAACATGAAAATCTAAAGATAATTCCACTTTACCTACAAACTCAAAAGGTCCTTCTTCCTTAATTCAGGCACATCCCATAACATGAAAATTAACGCAGATGGGTCTTTATATTCTAATTGTGTGTGTTCCAGGTTATTGTCACAGCATCCCTCTGTTAAATGTGCCGTTAAGTAGGAGCCAAAGAGTTAATCACCTACTTTTCTCCAGGCAAAGACACGATTTTTCCATTGCAAGTAAAATCAAAAAAGATTCAATTCAACTTGAAACCAGCCAATCGCTTTTTAGCCCAACCAGGAGCATCATAATTTCACACCCTCGTTAATTTTAAGAGTTTATTCTGCACGTCTGACGTCGCGTGTAGTCAAATCAAGATCCTACCCCTGCAAAAAGTCAAGAGAAGCAGAGAGGACCACATAGGTCTCTCGATCACCTTTCAAGAGCTCTGAGGAGCACAACCATTTTAGAGTTAAAATGTGATCCTGGAGCCCAGAGCGCAGTTCAGGGTTTAGACAAGCTTCACCACATATTTAAGGTCTGACTAAGAAATTATACAGGAAATGATCGTCCCCTTCCAGCCCAAACCACCAGCAAAAGCAATCCCCAGAGCTTTGTTCTCTATCAGGGGGAAACAGAGCAAAACCACAAAAATTTACACTTCACAAGAATCACTACGATAATTCAATTCTGATTTATGGCATTAAATGGCTACGGAACAATCCCTGGAAATCTGACTGTACAGGAAGCGATCTGGACTTTTTCTGCTTTAGGGATGAAAACTCATCGAGACGCGCAAGAACAAACCAGAAACGGGTTGTTTTCTTCTTAACAAAGAGACCCCAACCACAAAGAGGGCACCGTTATCACCCCGGAACACGAGGGCCACAGGTGCGAGCGGGAAGGGAAAGGCAGCGAACACGCGGGGGACACCAAACCCGGGAGTTCAAAGGGCTCCCAAAGAGGTGCCCGCTCTGCAGATGCGCCTCCAACAAAGGAGGAGGGTTTTTTAATTAACGACTATTTTCCAAACAGTGTTTTCAAATTGTAACTAGTAAGAATTTGAGCGTTTCTAAGGATTCAAAAGACAGACAAAGCACAAACGAGCGCAGGGGACGGGCAGCGAAGGGAGGTCAGCCCTCGCTGGGTAAATGTTTCTGTCTAAAACCACTCCTGAATCAAGAACTACTGGAATTACAGTAAGAGGAATTCTCTTTGTGAATCAAGTGCATCCCAACTGGAAAAAGGCCACCCCTTCTATTAAAAACCTGTTTAACCTTTACTATCTGCTTCAGCATCAGCGATGCTGGAGCACTGGGACCAGTTCTGGGCTCCCCAGTTCAAGAAGGACAGGGAACTGCTGGAGAGGGGACAGCAGAGGGCTACAAAGATGATGAGGGGACAAGAACATCTCTCTTACAAGGAAAGGCTGAGGAACTTGGGGCTTTTTAGTCTGGAGAAGAGAAGGCTGAGGGGGGATCTGATCAACACCTATAAATACTGAAAGGGTGGGTGTCAGGAGGATGGGGCCAGGCTTTTCTCAGTGGTGCCCAGGGACAGGACAAGAGGAAATGGGCACAAACTTGAACATGGGAAGTTCCACCTAAACATGAGGAGGAACTTCTTTCCTGTGAGGGTGGCAGAGCCCTGGGACAGGCTGCCCAGGGAGGTGGTGGAGTCTCCATCTCTGGAGACATTCAAACCCCACCTGGACACGTTCCTGTGGGACCTGCTCTGGGTGACCCTGCTGTGGCAGGGGGTTGGAGGAGATGATCTCCAGAGGTCCCTTCCAACCCCATAGCATTCTGTGATGCTGACAGTTGGGTTGTGCCCTGCATTCACCCTCCCTTCTCCCTTCAGCTACAACCACAAGAGGGCAATTCCCGCCCCCAACCCTACCCTGAGGAAGAGGAAGGAGGTTGATACCAGCCCTTCAGAGATGCTTGGCATCTGGTTTTTTTTACCACCGCCTGTACCCAAGCTCCATAGACTGGAGCACGTGGAGGTTTGTTTCCATATCCCCCGGTCACACCTGCTAATTATAACTTCCAGCTGTGCTAATCAACCCAAAATGGAGGGAAAAAAGCAAAACCAAATTGACTCCACCCATCTCCCAGCCTCTCGACTGCAAAATATCCCGTTATTCCTGAAATTAATTCCTTCAAACAACCAACCACTGGTTCAGAAATTTCTTTACACCACTTTTCAGCAGCGCAGGATAGGGAAAAGGGATTTTAAAAGAGTTTCAGTTGCTTTTCCTATTAATTGAGATACATTATTAACGCACGTGGAAGGAAATAGTTGGACAACCGCGACAGTAAACACGCTGTCGAGAGCGTAACACCCGCCTGAGCCACCCGAGGCTCTACAGCCCGTTCTGAACCCGAGGAGATTTTGATGGAAGAGCAGAAGAACTTCAAAAAAATCCCGATTTCCAAAGAAAAAACGGGAAACAGGATTTTTTCCAGCTTTCAGGGTGCTAAAAACTCGCAAAGCTTAAAAAAAAAAAAAAACCTTTTAAGCCCACCATCGCCCTGCTGAGATTTGTATTTTCATGGGCTTTGCAAAGGCAGTGTCAAGAGAGAAAAGCAAGGTGTTAGATGAAAAAAAAAAGGCGGAAAAATTATATTAAATTAATTAAAAACCCCAGCCCAAGAGAATTAAACTCATAAAGAACCCAGCCCGTTGCCTTGCTGACTATTCTTGCAGACCCACCGCTCGGGAGGCGCGGAAGGGAGCCCGGGAGTCACTAGATGGCAGCAAAACATCCCCCTTTTCGGCAATTAAAGGCCAAAAAAATTAATTAAAAATTAAAATAGGGGGAAAAGGGTTGAGGGCGAGGGCGGGCGGGGGGGACTCGCAGCCGCTTCCGCGGATGCGGGTCCCCCCCGAC